TGATGAATGAATGTTCAATTTTCTGAAAAGTATTTGTAGCACCCTTAGTTCACGAGGCCCTCGCCCGGGGGTAACAATACCGCGGCCAATCTGCATGTGGCCCTCGCCCGGGGGTAACAATACCGCGGCCAATCTACACGTGGCCCTTGCCTGGGAGTAACAATACCATGGCTACTTGCGCGCAAGATATGGACCTTTGTGGTCATTGGTACCAACTATATATGTGGGTCACTGGACCAATCTGATCTGATAGCTAATGGGTGTACCATGTATGATCTTATGCAAAATCTGAATATGAAAATGTATATGAATTTGTTTCTGTTTGAAGTCTGATTATGCTATGATTTAAATGCTGGATTCTAACTTGTGCTGGACATCATTCATATAACCTCTTTACTCTGTTATTATTCACTAGGCTTTCGCTCATAGTTTATATTATGTATGTAGGTGAGCGGCATATGACCAGGGCCAGAGTTGACGGCCTTCTGTACTGTTTTTGTCAGCCAACCGTTGTGCCTCCGAGGAGGTTCCAATCGAAGTTTAATGCCATGGTTGTTTTTGTATTTCATGCTAGTCTTAGTGTTTGCACTGTATAGTCAGATCTTGGGAAGTTCATTTATGTAATTATTTTGTAAATATTGGTGTCCTTGACTGGCATGTTTATGTGTATATAAATAAGTTTTAAAATGTTCTGTCCCATATACGTTGTCACAGCTCATTGGACCTTGTCTATTTTGTATTATTGCTTCCGCAGCCCCTTATTACTTGATAATCTCTTGAGAGGCCTTTGGTAATTTACGGATTACTGGCCGGTTACGGTGCTAAACCTATAGGGGCGGGTTTGGGTCGTGACAGACACCGACTTCGAGGTCGATCGCACTGTCGCCCGCTCTAACCGACTTGTCTTCATTGGTGATCGGGGGGGGCCTAGGGGGCATCTGATTTCATTGGCCCCGAGGTCGTGGCAGATTCAGACCTCGGCCTCTTTAACCGAGTTGATTAGGATGGTTCGGCCTCGGCGGGCCTCTTCTCGGAGACGGAGGGGGTTTTCTCGCTCGAAGCCAATTTTGAAATTGACAAGGTGCCCTCAGTATCAATCTGAGTCACCGTTGCCTTTGGTTGAGCCTTCCTCAGCCTTTTTTGTTTCGACTTTGGAGGCTGAGTTGGTGCTGGTCGAGCGTCGACGGAGGATGGGATGTCGGCCAAGAGGTCTTCAGCGACTGCTTTCTTGCGGCCCATATTAGCAGCAAAAACAGTTCGGCGTCATCGACGGCGTTGAGACGGTGGAATCAGTTTTGGAGCTGAGGTAGATGGCTGCTCTACTAGATCAGAGGTTGACCCTTGATCTGGCCAAGATGACGAGGTTGCTGGAGGAGTAGTGGCAGACGGAGAAGACTGACTCTTCTTCTTCTTTGGAACGTCGGGAAGAACCGACTTGTAAGTAGGAATGAAATTGAGTAGTAGAGGGGCTCTACGCTTGTGGATGGGAAAATTCAATAGCTTCTTTAAGTCCTTACTAGGGAAGAAAGACTTGCGAAAGCCCTGTGATGGTTGGGGAAGAACTGCAAAAAGAAGAGCACAGACGTTAGAACAAAGTATTGAAAACTCTAAAAAAGAGAGCAAGGAAAGGTGACACTTGGCTCTTACCATCTCTTTGCCCGAAAACTGTTCGGCTTAGGGGATAAAGGTGAAGGTCATTGTTTAGTTGAAACTCCCAGTTGCCCGAGACGATGAAGTAATCGTCTCCAGCACCCTTGTTTGAGTCTGGGAGGTCGGCAATGAGCTTGTACTCAGTGGACCTCGGCTTGAGGTAATAGATGTGGCCTTTTTTCGATTTCAAGCGACACATAGTGTAGCAGTACTGGATATCGGCAAGAGTAACCCTAGCATTCTCTTGTTTGGCTAAGGCTATTATACTGTTGATAACTCGATAAGAGTTTATGGCAAGCTGCATTGGGTTCAATTTATAGTAATGAAGGATTTCTCGAAAAAATGTGTCAAGTGGAAACCTAAGTCCACACTCGATAAAGGCCACTACTGGGAAAGCCAAGAAGTTCACATCGGGCATAATAGAATCCTCCTCCCCTGCCAACCTGAGGTAGACGTTGGCAGGGATGGAAAACTCCCGCCTAAAGTATTCTAACTTGGTCGGGGTGTCTACCCTATGCATCCACATACCCATGATATCGGCCTGAGGGGAAGGTGTAGGATTTCGGAAGAAAGTGTTTTGTGACAGTTTTTTAAGGACCTCGGCTAAAACCTAAATGTGAGCCGGGGTAAGAATTTGTGGGATCTTAAGGGGAATGTATTTCAGTTTTTCCTAAAAATTTGTGGGTTCTACAAGCAAATCCCAAACCTAGATCTAACAAAAACGAAGATTGAAGGCACGAATCTGGAAAAGACACAGAAAACAGAAAACAAGAACGTGTTTCAGAATCAAGAACAGTGACGAACTATCAAAAACACTATGACAAAGTGTGCACAAGGGTGCAAGGCCAAGAACAGTGGCAAAAGTGAATAAATTTGTGAGTAGTGTGTGGTTATTCGAGAAAGGATTGGGCAAAAACAGAATTACAAAGCAAACATACTCAAATACGTGGTGCAAATCAAGGTACAAATTAAAAATGATCGAAGACATAAGCAAGTTTGTAAAATACAATAGAGTTTGCAGTGAAATCAAGAACTGAAAACCAGGAGGAATAGTGGCTTACTAGAAAAAGTGAGGCCGGTATGAGGATCGCTGAATTCAGACGATGGTTACAAAAACAACGGAGCGGTGAAAATCACGCTGGAGGAGGTGAACGGAGCAAGTTGCAGAGCTAGAAAAGCTTGAATAAAGACAGATTAGAGAGAGAAAGAAAAAGTTGGATACTTCAGAAACGATGATACAAAAAGTGAAGAGACGGAGAGAGGGAATTGATTTTGATCAAAACGCAGAGAATGACAGCAAAATACCATCAATGCGTCTAGGGCGACGTGCTTGTCAGACGGCGCACCCAGACACAGGACGACTTACAAGAGCATATCGAGTACGATCCAGTGAGGGAAAGACGCGTAGCAAAAACGGTTGATTTATTTTGCGTGACTCATACGCGTCATAAAACTCTTGGAGTTCTTGGTTTAATGAAGCAATGACCTTGACTGGTAGGAGGATCTCGACTAAATAAACTCGAATAAAACTAGGATATTGGTTCTAAAAGCCTTAATAAGACAGACTACAGGACCTGGTTGTGTGAAGCCGACGTATTATGACCTCGATAAATGGATGATACAGCAAGATAGCCGACATGCTATACGATATGACGATATAGGCTCCATCACCTCAGGATGCCGAGGTAAAAGAACCTAGGAGGCAGTTGTGGGGATATATTTTCTAAGTACTAACACGTGGCCAAGGTGACGCCGATGTGTCAGTCGGGGTACCACGTGTCCTGGTCGTGACACCGAGTTTATCTCGGCTAGGCCGAGGTTATTTCCGAAGATATCGGAGTCCGGGATAAGCGGATAAAGGACAAGAGTCTTAGAATGAGGAAGGATCTTAGCCTGGATAAGGATAAAACCCTTAAGGAGTTTATCTTTATCTATTGGAGAATCCAAGATAAGCACTGAGTTGAAGTCTATTGAATCTAGGCTTCTATTGGGACTAGGTTTGTGTTAGTTATAAAAGAGAGGCACCCACATGGGTTTAAGGTACGCAATTTATATTCTGAATAGTGAGTTAAGCACTTTGATTATCTTTGAGAGATAACTGACTTGGTTGTCGGAGTACCCCCGGGTGGACGAACCACCGCCGGAATCTCTTCTTTCTGTTGTAGAATGTTCGGGATTAATCTATTCTGCCGGTGCTCTCCAGCTAAGTACTAATATAACAATGTAGTCGAAAATTGATACACACAGAAAGCTATGACCTATCTATATACGTAGTTATTATGTTACTGAGACAAATCCTTTTTAAGCTTTTTGTCAAGATTTTTATTTTTTTTGGTCCTTCTACATTGGAAGTCTCTAATTTTTTTTTTTAAAATGATTCAAATTAAAAAAAAAATGCATTAAAGACCAAAAAAAGGGGGGAAGGGGTGATTCTCATGTTGAGTAACAATTTATTGCCAATTGGATTTCCGGAAATTTTTTAGGATTAAACCAATTATTAATTAATCATGTGACAATAGAATTGTATAGCTACAGTATTCATAAAATTAATCATATAAGCCCCTACTCAATGATTTAAAAATTCTAAATTTTGGTGGTCCAGAGTCATCACTTGCTAAGGTCTATCATGTATCATCAAAGACTTGTCGTTTTTAATGTTCCTATACAAAATCATGAATATATACCCTTTCATCAATTGTAACACATCTAAAATATCATGCGATCATGTGTAAAAACTGTCAAATAACTTCTTGTAATAGAAAAATAGGAGAGACCCTCAGCACCCAGTGAGTGCTGATTGGCTAAAAAAAAAAAATTTTTATGTTTTTTTCATCTTCTCTTGAACCCCCACGTGCAGGTGTAGGTGTAGGTGGGGGTTACTCCCAACTGGCGTCTGCAGCATGATTGCTTATAATATTAGAGGCATGATGTGATTCTTCTAAGGATACTTGATCAATAGTGGACCCAACGTCACTGGATCCAAGCCCCCACAACCACGACGTTGCGTAAGTGGTTGTTCGTCCCTTCGCTACGACACACACCCACCTTCCTTCATGTGCTACTACATGACAGACCCCTCTTCTCTCTCTCTCTCTCTCTCTCTCTCATCTCTCCTTCAATCCCATCCCATCCCATCACATGGTTCCTCTCCAACCATGCCCTCTATCTCTGACTACACCCTTCCAAGGTCAAAAGCCCTACACTTCTCAAGCTCTCATCTTCTTATTCAAATGAATTGGAATATGATAGAATAATAATTTTTTAAATTCTCATATGAAATGATTATAAATGATAATTCTATATATAATATATTTTATCATTATTTTTTTAATTAACCAAATGAATTCATTTCATTCATCTTTCAATTCAATTCATTTCTCACTCATTTTGGTTTGACTGATCCACAGGTGGTTTCCAATTCTACGACGACGAAGAACTTCGTTCTGCTTTACAACGACGACGTCGACGAAGACAACAGCCCAATCTCCAACTCAATCGAATGCTACGCCTGTACTCAAGTCGGCGTCCCGGTTTTCCACTCCACCAGCTGCGACCGGGCTCACCAACCTGAATGGGAGGCTTCGGCCGGTTCCTCCCTAATCCCGATTCAATTCCGGTCTGGGCAAAAGGCCGGGAAGAATCGGGCCAAACGGACCCTGCCTTCGGGCCCTTTCGGGCGGGTTTTGGATCCCCGGAGCAAGCGGGTGCAGAGGCTGAACCGGGCTTTTTTGCTGGCACGTGGCATGGCCTTGGCAGTTGATCCTCTGTTCTTTTATGTTTTATCCATCGGGCATGGTGGTGTGCCGTGTTTGTACATGGACGGTGGGTTGGCGGCAACTGTGACGGTTATTCGCACGTGTGTGGACGCTGTGCACGTGTGTCACTTGTGGCTTCAGTTTCGGTTGGCGTACGTGTCGAGGGAATCAATGGTGGTTGGGTGTGGGATACTCGTGTGGGATGCACGTGCGATCGCTTCTCACTATGCTAGGTCCTTGAAAGGGTTCTGGTTCGATGCCTTCGTCATTCTACCAATTCCTCAGGTAAGCACACTTAACTAATAAAAGACTGGTTTGGGACGTTGGTTGATGTTTTTGATATTTTTACTATTTTAGTTTGAAGTTAAAAACTCTTATTTGAAATAGATTTTTTTGATGTTTTTTAAATTTTTGTGAGAAAAAAAAGAAAATTATTTATAGTTTGAATGAATATTTTGTTTTATTAATTTTTTAACGTATTTTGTCTTTTTTTGTGTGCGACTATTTTAACCTCAAATTATTATGCTAAACGAGTGCAAAGTTTATGGACATAAATTGATCATTGAGCCACCTCACATGAGAAAACTTGTGCCTCAATCGATTTTTATATTTTTAGAAGAATCGATGACGATAGGGTGTTCACGGGTCAGTCGGATGTACCCTCTGCTTGCCAGCCGAACCAATCATATCAGTTTTGCAAACTTGTCACTCGTTGCCGATTGAGAATACATTCGAAGTCGACCGCGACTCACCATTTAAATTGACAGTCGATTCGGTCAGTGAAAGTAAATGAAATGAAAAGAACAAATATGAGGGTATAAAGATAGATCTTAAAATATTAAATATAAAAACAGATCTAAGAGTATAGAGACCCAACTTCGCTTCAATTTGAGCATCATCTCACAGATTTGAGCATTATTATCATCGTCGATTAACACCATTGCTACCAGTAGAGGGAGATTAAGAGAAGAAAGAAGGGTTTTACATAAAAGAGATTAGGAGAGAGACAGGATTTCTTAGAGAGGGTGAAATACACAGTGAGAGGAAGACAATGTTGAAAGTCTAACAGCGACGAATCGAAAGAGCGAGAGAAAAGAGGGTTGAAATAAGAGAAGGGGAGACCAAAGGGTTCGAAAGAGAAAGGATGAGAATAAGTATGAAATAACAATAAAAAAAAATGTCTGCCTTGGAAGGAGATAAGACGCGGTGAAAGACTAAGGGTTAAAGAGAAGGGAATGACTTCCCTTCAGTCCAATCATAGACTGAAGAATATTTTTGAGCCTATGGGAGCCTACCACGAATCTTGTTTTAATAATCCCGTTTTGAAACCGCTTATAATAGGTTGAGTCGTGCTGTTTGGGTCGATTTTTTCAAGTGATTCAGATCTTTAAACACCCCTAGATGACAATTAGCATAATTTCTACAATCAAATGTGATCAATAATGTTATAATTATTAAAAAATGTCTTAATTGGACATTTAAGTATTGAATTTTTAACACTATATTTGGTTTGAAATTTTTAAAAATAATTTTATGAGTTTTTAGTAGTATTTTTTGCATTTTTGATGAATTTTTTTAACATTTTAATCATTTTTTTATACTATTTAGATTTACTTAATTTAGATACATTAAAAATATATATAATTCGTAAAAAAGGATTTAAAAAATTCATTAAATATAACAAAATATCAAAATGTATTGACTTTTTTTTTTATATATACTTTTTGTATTAATGAGTTTTTGAAAGATTTTGTACATTTTAAGTGTATTTAAAAAAATTTAAAAATGATTAAAATGTGAAAACAATTTACTTAAAAAAAAAAAAAGAATTGAAAACTGCAAACCAAACAGATATTCTGCTTTACAACCAATTATGATATTTCTTCTACTTTATCTTATGAGTAATGATATAAAACAATGCTTAAATAGTACATATTAACGTGTGTTTGGGAGAGAAAATATTAAGTATATACCTAACTTTTGGAATGGTACACAAAATGGTTGTCCCAAGACTTGAACCCATAACCTCAAGATTATTATAAGTAATGATATATAAATAAAAACTTGTACAAAAAATTTATATAGAATGACATGCTCTACAACATATAAGAGTATTTAGTCTTTAAAAGTGAAAATTTTATTGCAAAAGACATTTAGGAACCAATTTCTATCGTTGTGAGGATAATCGCTAAAAGGTCGTCATGGAAAGTCAAAAATAAAGTTTTTAGTGATAAAATTTTAAAAATGTCACTAATAAATACACTTTTAGGGACAAAATAATTTGGTCTTAAAATGGTTTGTTTTTTGAGATAAAAAATTTGATCTCAAAAAGATAATAATTCATCACTAAATTTTAGTCTCTAAAACCTTAATTAATTAATTAATTAATTATTATTATTATTATTATTAATTTTTATTTTATTATATTATTATTATTAATTTTTATTTTTATTTATTTATTTTTTTTTGTAGTTGTATCCATTCATTTCAGATCAAAATCCCAATAAAGTGATTTACAATTTCTAAAATACCACTACTCATTACTCAATCATTCTTGTAAAACTATTTGTATGAATTTTTTATTTACAAATTACTTTAGTTTTATTTACAATTTCTAAATAATTTTTTTTATAAGAAAACTTTACTATAAATAATTTTGTTGTCTTATTTTTCCCACTTCCCTTTCCTTTGCTTTCATATTTTTTTGGGCAGGCTATATTTTGGTTAATTGTACCAAAATTGATCAGAGAAGATGAGGTACAGCTGATAATGACAATACTTCTGCTAATGTTCCTGTTCCAATTCCTCCCAAAAGTTTATCACAGCATTTGTTTAATGAGAAGGATGCAGAAAGTCACGGGTTACATTTTTGGGACCATTTGGTGGGGTTTTGGGCTTAATCTCATTGCCTACTTCATTGCCTCTCATGTAAGTCCCATCTTAACTAAGCTTCATTGCCTCTCATTCCATATAACATCGGCAAGTTTTCATGTCACTTTCGTTCTATCTTGTTTGACGGAACTACATTTGGATGTTTATAGCTTATTTTAATTTCGAATTGTGTGTCAAACTGGTTGGTATAGTTTCTGCTTACTGTTTATTAAGAAAAAATAGCTTAACTAAATTGGGAAAAACTACTTATCTAGAAAGTTGGGAAGAGGAGCTTTTATTTTTTTACTTCTTGATTATCAATTCTTAATTTATAATAAGTTGTACCAAACAGGGCTATTGCGGTCCAAGCTGACCATGGTCCCTTAGATTTTTAACGTATATGTACGATTTTTCTTCAAATATGTGTAATGCATTGAATTTGTGGTAAAATTGTATAAGTTGACCAAAAATCAAATGGAATTGCCTTGTTGACTTTATGGTTTGCTTTTTTTTCTTTTTTCTTTTTTGAATAAGTAAGTAATTTTATAACAAAAAAAGAAAAAAAGACATACAATGAAGCTCAACACACATCCTATAAGGAGCACAAAAATAATCAGAATTAACTACTCTCACCAAAGGACACAAAACTAAGCCTACAGGAAAAATAAAATAACCCTCACAATAAAGAAGGATTCAAACTTTCCCTCTAATACTTTTCAGGTTATGAAATTTCTCTTTGAATTTTCTTTTTTTTTCCTTCTTACTTATGGCTTTATTTTATTTTATTTTTGTTTTGGAAGGACCCGGCAAAGTGTTTGGTAAGTTTTGTTCTTAGGTCTTAAGTTGCCTAGAGTTGCAACAAACAGGGACTATGAAATATATAGCATAGCCCAAAATTAAGGATAAAGTTGCACAATTTTTGAATTGTTTACAAAATGATGATTAAAGACCATTACATGACTTGAAAATAATATGAAATATGTTTTTTTTAGAACCCCTTCATTGTGTCTATGCAGACCTATATGTTTTGTAATTATTATTACTCACTGTATATTTGGTTAGTTCAATCCATTTAATTTCTTTCATTAAGAGCTTTTTTTGGTGGATTATTCGATGAATTTGTGCTAAATTTTTTTTAAAAAAAAATCTGGGTAATTTGGAAGCTAATTTTGATGGGTTCTATACGATTAAAAAAATTCAAATTGAGCAACTTGTTGAATGATTTACTGAATAAAATTTATAGAGACATCATTGGTTGGCCTCGTATAATAAAATCCTAATTTCGTCTTCAAGGTTGCCGGAGGATGTTGGTATGTCCTTGCGATTCAACGCGTAGCGTCATGCCTAAGGCAACAATGCCACATGAAAAGCAAATGTAAGCTCTCCCTGTCGTGCTCCGAGGAGATTTGTTACCAATTTCTGTTACCGGCAGGCACAGTTGGAAATCCATGTGGTGGTAACTCAACAACTATGGTCAGAAAGCCATTGTGCTTGGATGTCAATGGACCGTATCGTTATGGGATCTACAAATGGGCTCTTCCAGTCATTTCTAGCAATTCTCTGTCTATTAAGATTCTATATCCCATTTTTTGGGGTTTAATGTCCCTCAGGTAATTGATTAAGATCATGATTAATTGTTTATACCACTTAAATTAAATTTCCCTCTTTTCTCAGCACAAGGGAGAAAAATCTTCATTTTTTGATTGTGTTTGGAAGATAAGAAAAGTTTAGGCATTTTTCTAGGTAGTTTTCTTGGATATGTATATAGTTTTAAATGTTACTGTTTAGTGGCCTGTGCTTGGACTGGATTTAAAATTTTTTGCAACTCACATGCTGTGCTTAGAACATCCATTCACTTCTTCTATGGAACAGATTGTTGCATAATATTTTCTCGAGTAGGAAAACTACTAAAAATAGCATTTGGAATTGGAGACAAAGCCTAAGAAACTCCAATGATTACTCTTGAGTTCCTTTACGCTGTGTTTGGACCGTGAGATTTCGCAAAGGAAAGGAAAATGGAGAAAAAACCCGCTTATATTTCATTCACGTTTGCCTCACATTTTTTCTTTTTATTTTAAAATCCCTACTCAAATTTATGATCCAAACATAGTCTAAAGAGATTCAGACATGTGCTTATATTAAGCCTCTCTGTCCACAAATGTTCTTGAAATGAAAACCACACTTAAAAATTCTTGGGTTTTGGTTGGCAGCACATTTGGCAATGATCTTGAGCCAACAAGTAACTGGCTGGAAGTCATCTTCAGTATATGTATTGTGCTCAGTGGCTTAATGCTATTCACTCTATTGATCGGTAATATTCAGGTAACTTAAAATTCTCTTTTCCCCCTCTCCTAATTCACTTGCCTCTCCAATCCCCTTCTTTGTTAAGTAAGCTTTGAACATTAATTATTTTATTAGGTTCACTTACTAACATAGAAACTGGACAGAGAAAATTGATAAAATATTTACATGAATGGACAATATTTTACAAGATTTATTGGTAGGACTCACTTATGAAAAATCTTGTTGATCCAAGTACATGATGTGCCTACTTTCTATTTCCTAGACATTTTATTTTATTTCGGCATTTCTACATGCACAAAACTATTTGTAGAACACTAACAAGATGTGGGTCCTACAGTGTTTTTGGCCTTACCTAAATGGAAGAAATTATATCTATAGACTAGGTAGTGCACCTTTCTGACAATGGAGAGACACATGATCACTTTGTCTCTTATTTATAAGACGGGATAGTCATCTGTCCCCTTATTATTGGTGTAAAACTTCAGCATAAAAAATGCAATTTTGCTATCACCATCCCAATTCAATGAGCAATCTCATTAGTTGGGTAAATGAGAGACGAAACTTGTCTATTTTTTATTTTTCTTTGGTTGGTGCATTTATGTAAATGACTTCTTATACATTAGGGTCCACGCCATATTAAGTAGTATTATGTGACTGGTTTGTGGATATCTTTTTCTCTTTAATTTTAACTTGATTGGGGTATGAAGCATGGTCTACCAAAGAGGACTACATGAAATGGTGCTTGCTGTATAAATTGAAGGTGTTTTTGCATGCTGTGATGGCAAAGAAGAGAAAAATGCAGTTGAGATGTAGAGACATGGAATGGTGGATGAAGAGGAGACAATTGCCATCTCAACTGCGACAGAGAGTGAGACATTTTGAACGACAAAAATGGGCAGCCATGGGAGGAGAAGATGAGATGGAATTGATAGAAGACTTGCCTGAAGGCCTCCGTCGGGAAATTAAGCGCTACCTTTGCCTTGATCTCATCAAAAAGGTATTACCTACCCCCAATCCATCTCACCATGCTTGTGAAATAATTCAATTGGGAAGGGAGTAATTGTCTATGTTTTGTCTTTTGTTTTTGATGTGGATCAAAAGGATTAGAAGGGATGGGAGTGCCTAGAACTTACCCTGTGCATGATCGTAGGAGATCCACATACACTCATTGAATGATAGAAATAATGGAAACACATTTTAAAAATTAGATGAAGCACAACTTCACCTAATTGACTAGTGAGAGACGAGAGACCTCACAAATTGTGTACTGCCTTAAAAATTTTAGAGAGCACGAAAAGAAAATTTACTTTAGCAAGATGGTGTTATTGGATAATAAGAGAGGAAATAGGGAGAGAAAGGAAAGAAATAGGGGAAAATTTTAAATTTTGTTTTTGCAAAATAACAAAAATAAGGGAGGCAATTGAAAGCCATTCAAGAAGACAATTTGTACAAGGTTTGGGGCAATTATGAAATTAGAGGGGGCAAATGGAAATATTTTAAGATTAGAAGTAAAAATAAAAAATTCTATAATGGGCGCAATTGACCCCACTTGCCCCTTGCCTCTGGAAATTTTACAAAAGAATTCATTGAATTAATAACTTATGTAGCATTGTTGGTATGTTTAGGTACCTATCTTCCAGAGTCTGGACGATCTTATCCTTGACAATATCTGCGACCGTGTGAAGCTCCTTGTGTTCTCCAAGGATGAAAAGGTCCAAAATTTTACAATTACTATTAGAAACATTTCTAGTTAAAAAATTTCTCTGACATTTTGATGTTAACGGGGCAGATCATTAGAGAAGGAGATCCTGTCCAACGAATCGTGTTTATTGTTCACGGACGTGTAAAAAGTAGCCAAAATCTCAGCAAAGGCATAGTCGCCACAAGCATACTAGAGCCTGGAGGATTTTTGGGAGATGAGCTACTATCATGGTGTCTTCGCCGCCCATTCATGGACCGCCTTCCTGCCTCATCCGCAACATTCACTTGTCTTGAATCAACTGAAGCGTTTGGGCTCGATGCAAACCATATTCGATACATTACTGATCACTTCCGTTACAAATTTGCAAATGAAAGACTCAAGCGAACAGCGCGATATTACTCATCCAATTGGAGGACTTGGGCAGCTGTGAATGTGCAATTAGCTTGGCGGCGTTACGTGGTGAGGACTAGGGGTCTGGTGAATGGTGTGGTGGAGAATGGAGGTAGTGAGCGACAACTCCGGCGATATGCTGCTATTTTTATGTCAATTAGGCCACATGATCACCTAGAGTAAAAACTATGCAGTTGCAATTCTTTTTTGTCATTTGAGTCCTGTATTAATTAGGACTAATTAAAGTATTCCCCAAATATAAAATGATGCTAATGTGCATCATATGCTCCTTGATGAACGACTCATATGTATGATTTTGTTTCTACATATGATAATAAAATGAGATGTTTTATAAACAAGTATGGGAACTTCTTCAAATTGTACCGCGTTAGAAAACTAGAAGACTTGAACAGAATCAACAATTCAGATTTTCTGTAGTATTATCTTATTGGTAATTTGACAATTGGGATTTCAAATTGAAGCAAAACGATGTAGTTTTGATATATTTAGTTTTTTGAAAAAAAAAATTTGTCATTTGTTATTTAATTTTAAATTTGACCATTAAGCCTTTATTTTGATAAAAATCATAGCTAAAATAAAAAAAATAAAATAAAATATCATCCACTATAAAAAAAATAAAATAAAATAAAATAAAACTAGTTCAAATTATATACAACAAATCATACTGTTGTAATCTTTTTTATTTTTCACTAAATAAGATATTAGATTAGTACAATCAAACATCCATGGTATCTACGTAAATTTATAGGGTCTAAACTTCGGCCACTTCCTAAAAACTTAAAAACTAAATTCATCCTATCTTTGAATTGATTTTTTTTGGTCAATTAATAAAAAAACATTTTTAAATATTAAAATAAATTATATTAATTAGACAATTAATCATCAGAAAATTTAACAAGACAAACTGCATACCCAACACAAGTATCAACACCAACAACCATTACAAGAAAAAATTCATAATAAAAAATAATTAAACAACTTAACAAAGACTTTTTAATCAGAAAGTAAAAAATCAATCTTTGCTAAGAGTGTTAAACGAATCAAGCTATTCGAATTTGAGTGGCATTTGAACCGTTAAGAGTTCGTTTTATGTAAATAAATTAAATTTGAACATAATTTTAAGTTCGGAAATTTTTAAGTCAAATTTGAACAACTTATTATTCAACAATTTATATGTACTATAAAAAAGGGGTGAATTACACTAATAGTTTCTATAATTTGGGACTTGTATCACTATGGTCCCTGACTTTTCAATTGTGACACATTTGATCCTGAATTTTGAATCTTGTTCTAATTAAGGACAATTGAAGACATTATTAGATTTTTCAAGGATAAAATCATCAATTTGATAAAATATAAACTAATTTGACAAAAATAAATGTCAAACATATATTTTTGAATTTTTAAAAATTATTTCTACTTATTAAAAATAAAATTATGCAAAATTGATAAACTTTTAAACATTTATTTATTTTTTTTACCAAATTAATTTTTATTATATGTTTGAATAATGATCATGTAAAATTAATTTTTAAAAATTAATCATGTAATTTTTATTAGTTTTTATCAATTTTACATAATTTTATCATTGGTGGATAAAAATAATTTTTTAAAAATTTAAAATATTTTTTGACATTTATTTTTGTCAAATTAGTTTATATTTTATTAAATTGACGATTTTGCCATTGAAATTAAACAATAACATCTTCAATTGTCCTTTTTTGGAACAAAATTCAAAATTCAAGGTCAAATGTGTCACAATTGAAAAGTCAGGGACCAAAGTGACACGAGTCCCAAATTATAGAGACTATTAGTATAATTTACCCTTAAAAAAAACCAAGGTTGCGTTTGATAGAGTTTTAGAATTATGATTTGAGAAGTTGTCTTTTGAGTTTATGAGTTTTGGAATTATGATTTAAGTGTGGAAAATTTGTTTGGTTATAAGTTTTGAATTGAGTTATGTGACATATGATATTTGATTTAAAAAATTTTAACTCATAACCAAACACACAACCCAAAATTCTATTCAAAACTCATTAAAAAATTTAACAAAATTCTCAAAATATTTTTTATTTAAAATATAAAAATAACAGGTGCAAAAAAAAAAAACAAACAAACAAACATGAACATTGTTTCAGTCAACTGGCTGGACGTCCGGGTGGATGATCGGGTAGACATGTTTTGAAAAGTGAGTGTGAAATCAATTTTTGAAAATTGTAAACAAACACACCATACTGAAATTAAAGGGTGGAATGACACTTTGAAAGTCTAACCAAACACAGCCCAAGTTACTTAAACTCAACTCATATTCGACTCGTTAAAAACTCATTTGAAATCAATTCGTTATATAACAAGAAGTCAAATTTAAATATATTTTTAAATTCATTAAAATTATCAAATCAAACTTAAACCACTTATTACTCGACTTAACTTAATTCAACTCATTTTCAACCCTAATATTTACTTAGGACAATAATTAATCCTGACTTCTCAATTAAAAGTATACAAAAGTGATCAATTGAATTAATCTAATCAATTTCCAACTCTAAGTCGATCGGATGTTAAAAATTTGAACAATGATTTAGGGAGTGTTTGGGAAGCAATTTTTTGATTTTTTTGGCTAAAATAATACTAAAAGATAAAATAGATTAAAATAGTCAGTAAGATAAAATGTCAGATCAAACTCATAGTCATTTTACTTTTTATCTCACAAACATCACATCTAATTACAAAAAAATCTAACTATCTTCCAAAGCATAAAAATTTTAACCTCCTAAAATAATCAAAAATTAAAATAACCTACTAAAATAATAATTTACCAAACACCCGCTAACACTCCTATAAAAATTCTACCCGTACAACCCCCATATCATCTTGTGTGAGAGGGAGAGGAAAAAAAAAAAAAACAAATAAAAATACACATAAATCAAACACATCTATTTTAGAGATAATGTGGGTCTCCAAGTTGAAGGTCCCAGGCTTTTTCCTAAAAAAAATTTCCATTGTCACATCACAAATAGGTTAAAGAAAAATGCTTGAGAGCATTAAAAATGGATCACTAAAGAGAGCACTAATGATGTGACAGTAGGCCCCGGCCACTTTCTATGCCTTGTTGTTATTTTTTTATTTATTTTTTGTCATTCCCAATGTATTAGTGGTATTAGTGATATAGTTTTTAGTGATCTAAATCATTGTTGATAGGTTAAAAACATTGGAATTCCACGTAGCATACCTATGGACCCCACAAAAACAGAATCATACTACGAGCAACAATGATTCATCCCACTAAAAACATCACCACTAATAGCACTAATGCATTAAAAAAGTAAAAAAAAAAAAATACAACTCCAAGACCAAAATATCAAATCATTAATGACGGAACCCACTGCCACCTAATTAGTGGGAGCACTAATTAGTGCTCCCAAGCATTTTATGGTGCTAACACAAACACCCACTAACACTCCTATAAAAATTCTACCCGTACAACCCCCCATTTCATCTTGCGTGAGAGGGAGAGGAAAAAAATAAAAAAACAAATAAAAATACACATAAATCAAACACATCTATTTTAGAGATAATGTGGGTCTCCAAATTGAAGGTCCGAGGCTTTTTCCTAAAAAAAATTTCCATTGTCACATCACAAATAGGTTAAAAACATTGGAATTCCACGTAGCATACCTATGGACCCCACAAAAACAGAATCATACTACGAGTCACCTTCTCCCTTCAACAACACTCCTCCTCCCTCCTCTCTCAATTTTTTATTTTTTATTTTTGTTTTTGGTAATAAGGAGATATTATAAAACTTAATCCAATTTTTTTATCTTTCATGCTTTCCATTTGCATCCCATCTCTCTCCACTTTTCCAAAAATGTTAAGGTTACTAATCTATATACTTTCTTTGCTCACATAACTGTCTAGATCAAAATTTTATAATTTTTTTTTCAATTTTAATTGATCCATCTTAATCGCAGGTGGACTGAAATTTTCCGTTCAAGTGAATCCGAACCCGACAATGACAATCTGACCGGATGCTACGAGTGTACTCAGGCTGGTGGTCCGATTTTTCACTCCACAAGCTGTGAAGCGGACCACCAGCCCGAGTGGGAGGCTTTGGCCGGTTCATCTCTAGTCCCGATTCAAAACCGGTCCGATTACAATCCACAAACGAGCCGGCAGACTGTGGGACGATTCGGTTCTGTTTTGGACCCGCGTAGCGCAAGCGTGCGGGTGTGGAACCGGGTGGTTTTTATGGCACGTGGCATCGCATTGGCCGTTGATCCTCTGTTCTTTTTCGCAGTAGCGATCAGTTTAGGGTGTGAAAGGCCGTGCGTTTATATGGACGGTCGGATGGCTGCAATCGTGGCCGTTGTTCGCACGTGTGTAGACGCAGTTCAGTTGTGCCACCTGTGCATTCAGTTTCGGTTGGCGTACGTGTCGAGAGAGTCGTTGGGGGTTGGGTGTGGGAAGCTCGTGTGGGGCGCACGTGCGATCGCCTACAATTACCTCCGGTCGCTTAAGGCCTTCTGGTTCGACGCCTTTGTTATAGTTCCCCTGCCTCAGGTTAGCGCTACATGCTTTACATGCTGTTATTTCTCTACTGCTTGAAAGTTATGTTTGTTTTTCAGATTAAATTGATTGAGGCTATGTTTGATGTAGGTTATTTTAGTCACAAAAAGATAAAATAAATTAAAAAATTAATAAGATAAAATATCACATTCAAATCATAATTATTTTATTTTTTTTCTCACAAAAATTAAAAAAAAAAAAACTAAAAAGTTTATCCCAAATTTAGGCCTGGCCCTGAGATTTTCAAAGTCCAAATCTGATAATCAATTAACAAATATTACTAGATCATTTGAGGCTCTTCATGTTTTTTTTTTTTTTTTCATTCAATGAAATTTTTTTTGAAGGTAAAGGACAAAATATTTGTGTCAAAATCACAAAAAATACTTATTATTACATTACAACAACTAATAAGTATCACTTGATCCTCATTCTTTTTGTATTTTGAGAAACAAATAAATCAATCATACTTGTATAATCTAGGTTAATTAATTGAGCAAAAGACAAGACAAATATTTAATTAATTGAATAGAAAAAAAGACCTACTTGTGTTGTGCTACTGCTCTGAATTCTTGAGAAATTCGCTAATACTTTGTTATGTCGCTTCTCTCAAATTTTTGAGAAAATTGAATTAAGAGTTAGGGTTAGGAATTAGATAGGGAGAGAGAATGAGCCCTTTTAATTTTTTAATAGGTCAATTTATTTTAAATTAGTTTGGATCTTCTTTAATTTTTTTAAATTTAAAACATACCCAATATGTTACATTAAATTATAATAGAAGGGGCCCTTTTTTGGATCTATTTTGAGGGGTCCTAAGCCATGGCTTGGTGGGCTATGCCTAGGGCCGGCCTCATCCAGCCCAAACGAGACTTTTTAACCTCAGACTAAAATAGTCAAAAAGTCAACCTACATTCCAAACAAAGGCTGAGATTGTGAGTGATGAGATTGAGTAATAAAATTATTAGTACGATAGTACTAAGTTAAGGATGTAAAATAAAATTTATTTATTTGTATATTAGTTTGGTGGTGTTAATGGGTATTGGGATTAATTTTTTAAAGTAATTTTTTGGTTTATTGATTTATTTATGAGATTAACAAAAATACTATGTGCATAAATGGATTTTTTTAGTTGTATGAAAAAAATGTAAAAGGTTAATGTAATATTTTGACTTTTTATTTGAAATTCTCCTTTTACCTTTGTTTTAATTATATTTTTAAAAAAAATAGTGTGAGGATATCCTTATCTTTTTATTTATTTATTTAAGCACCCTAAACGTTTACAAACCACTCCTAAATTTATGAGCATAAAAATTCCCATTACAAAAAAGGTGACTATTGTTTTTGTAAATTGGGGCAAAATAATTTTTCTATCTCATGGGATTGGATAAAGCAATCCAAATGCCATTTTATAACAAGTAAACATGATTTTGGTAAAATTCGACAATCTAACTCTCTAAGAAGGGTTGGCTCTCTAAGAAGTTAAAAGGTCAGAAATAAATAAATAAATGTTAGGTTTTTATTCTTGTTAATTTCATTTGACAAAATTCCTTTAAGTTGTATTTGTTTTTGCACTTTTTATTTCAGTGAGGCTATGAATTTTTATATGCGAATCTAACCCGAATTGTACTTTACAGAGAAGTTTTGTGATGTTAATTCTTTCAAGATTTCCACTTCGCTGATTATGACGGGGATCGAGCTGCCCGATCAGCTTGCGGGGGTCGAGGGGGCTGTACCCCTTGGCGGGTTCGGAGCAGCGCCCAGGCGGGGTCGAGGGGCAGCGCCCCCGAAGCAAAATGTAAAAATGCATTCAAAATTATCTGTCCGCTCAAGCGGACATTTCCCCCGCTCGAGTGGAGAATGCTGAGTTCCAAAAGTTTGGTGAGTCTGCAAATATACTGTGATCCGTGTTTTCACGCTCGAGCGTCCATTTCCCCGTTCGAGCGTAAATCCTGGTTTGGAACACGTCATATAGTGTCCCCGCTTGAGCGTCTATTCCCACGCTCGAGCGGACCTCACGATTTCAGATTCTATAAATTCGCATGTTGCTCAAAATCTAGGGTTACGACTCCAGATCTTCTTCTTGAATATTAGGGTTTATATCTAGGGCTATTTTGCTAGCTTTCTTTGATGTTTCATTGAGTATTCAACTCATGGTTTAAGGAGGATACATCAAAGGATTGTTTGTTCATTCTATACAAAAGAGAGAGTTATTCTTCGGTGGATTCTGAAGAATTCGAACCTGAAGCTTTGGTGGATTCTAGAGTGGCTCATCGTCAAGACAATTCCGAGGTGAAGACGGGGTTGGAAGAGGCACATAGGGGTTGGTTCAATTCAGGCGTGGATTCACTAGGTAATTGAGAGTATACCTGTGTAATTCTTTTATATCTTCTTAGTGGATTGTTTTGTGGCTGTTGCCCGTGGTTTTTTTATCACAATTGGAGATGCTCCAATTGTGGTTTTTCCACGTTAAAATCGTTGTGTCGATTTGTCTTGATTGTTTGATTGAGATTGTTTTATTGCTTAAAATTGATACATAATCACAAATCAATATCTAGCGGATTTCAAGATTTTTCAATTGGTATCAGAGCGGGTCGCTCTTTTGTTTTTTGAAACTTTTGAGCAAGATCTTGTTTGATTTGTGATAATGGATTCAATTCGTGAGGGAAATTCTATGGTTCGACCACCCCTACTTGACGAATCCAATTATTCGTTTTGGAAAGCTCGGATGAGATCGTTTTTAAAAGCTATTGATGAAAAAGTTTGGCAATCTGTCATGTATGGGTGGACTGAACCGACGATTACCGTTGATGGAGTAACCTTCCCCAAACCAATTGATAAGTGGGATACAATTGATTACCAAAATAGTAGATGGAATAGTAAAGCTATCAATTCTTTCTTTTGCGTTATCACACCTGAAGAGTTTAGTCGTATTTGTAATTGTGAAGTCGCATAAGAGGCTTGCGATATCTTACAAACTATTCATGAGGGCACTCCTTCGGTGAAACGCTCAAAACTTCAAAGACTCACATCTAGTTTCGAAAACCTTTCAATGAAAGATAGTGAGACCTTTGATGAATTTTATGCGAAGTTGAGTGACATTGTAAATTCGAGCTTCAATTTAGGTGAAAAAAATACCATAATCCAAAGTTGTGGAAAAAATTTTGAGACCCTTGCCCGATCGGCTCCAACCAAAAGTTACGGCTATTGAGGAGGCTCAAGATGTTGACAATCTCAAGCTGGATCACTTGGTTAGAAATCTCCAAACTTATGAGGCAAATAGGAATTTCCAAAAGAAACAAAAAGATGCTATTGCTTTTAATAGTGCTCATAGAGTTTGAGAGGATTCTGGTGAGGATTGTGAGATAGATTCCAAGATTACGGCTGCTTTTGTTAAACAATTTAAAAAATCTTTTTTGAAAAAGAATCCGAATCTTTTGGAATCTACTCATACTCATAAATCTAAAGGCAAAGATAAACTCAAAATTAATTCTATAGCCAAGAAAGAGAAAGGAAAGATACAAGGGAACTCTGAAAGAGTCCAATGCTATGAATGTCATGGATTTGGCCATTTTGCTTCAGAATGCCCCACTCGTTTGAAGAAGAAGAAAGCCCTCGCTATCACTTGGGATGATGAATCAGAATCTGATGAAGATGAAAGTGACAACAAAGATCAAGGCGAAAAGGGACATAAACAATTCCTTGCTTTCATGGTAGCTTCCGAAACTGAAGGATGAACAGAGTATCCGAAGAGGTCGGTTGAGAATGCCATTGATGATGAATCCTCGGAGAGTGATGATGAAGAGCTTGAGCAAGCTTATTAAAGGTTGTATAAGGAGTCTCTTAACTTATCCAAATTGAATGACAAACTCACAACGAAACTCAAAGTATGTGAAAGTGAGAATGTCAAACTTAAGGAGGAGAATTCTAAGGTTAGGATTGATGCCATCAAGATAGCTAATGATCGACAAGCTCTTTGTGCAAAACTCTTGACTTGTGAGACAAAGAGGAATGAGCTATAGCAAATCTATGCAACGTATAAAGAAAAGATTGAATCTCTCGAGATGTCTCAAGTTGCTTTGGAAGAACTAATGATCAAGAAAGAGGAAGAGCTCAAGTGTGCTATGGCTACCATTGGTCTTTGGAACAAAGGATCAAAGACTTTAGACAATATCATTGGGTCTCAGCAAATTTATTCTGACAAGAGTGGCATTGGCTTTGGCTTTGGTGGTAAGATAGAGCAAAAACAGAGTGCATCCATATCTCATGATACAAGAACTCAAGAAAAAGGAGAACAAAAAATTCAACATGAGGATGGACTTCTCAAACTTCCTAAAGTTGGTAAGGTCAAAGGAAAAAAGGTACACTCTGTTTTTATTTGTCATCATTGTGGTATGCATGGTCATATTCGCCCTTATTGTTATGAGTTGCATGGGAGAATGTCTTATAGAGATGGAAGAAATTCCAACATCTCGTGGGGTAGGAGACACTCCATTGGTGGTAATGAGGTTAAAGGTCATATTAGACCTCGTTATTTTGATTTGCTTGAGACCAAATATGGAGCGAGTTTGTATTTGCCTAGACCTAGAAATAGGAAGTTGGAAACCATGTTGAGACAGGTTCCCATTGAAAGGGAAGGGAACCACAATGTCAAAACACCACCCAGGAACCGCCCTTCTCACAACTTTGTTCATACTAAAACGGTTTAGGTGAGAAAACTTGACTTGTGTTAATTTGTTTATTAGTTTTAATTTTTGGGTTTCTGTATGTTTTTTTTTTTTTTTTTTGAGTCATTTAGTGTGTGCATGTTTTTTCTCTGACTTGCGTTGTTTAGGAAAAAATGTGTGCATGTTCGTTTTATGTCTTGCTTTGTTTAGAAAAAAAAAATGAAAAAAAAAAATCCCAAAAATATTTTCTTAGTATGGTTTTGCAAGCTTGAAATTTTTGAGTGGTCCTTGGTGTATATTTGGAATTGATGAGAATATCCATTACATGTTAAT